GCAGTACCTAACACCAACAGGTATATCTACAACACAATCTCTACACCTAAGGCTTAGGAAGCATTCTAGAAAAGGGACATAAAGATTTTAAGAGTAAGAGGACCAGAACATCTGCTGTATGATAATGTCTTGTAGACATGACAGGGAAGGGGCACCCAGTAATATCAACAATGTTGCCTAAACAAAGCTTGCAGGGGCTGGAGGGATGGCTTAGCAGTTAAGAGCACTGGCTCCTCTTGCAGAAGACCCAGGTTTGATTCTCTGCATTCACATGGTGGGTAATAACTGTCCCTAACTCCGGTTCTGGGTATCCAACATATCCTTTTGACCTCTCTGACCATTGCACAACACAGGTTCACTTATATACATGTAGGCAATGCAATCATATGCATAAAATAAATAAAATAACAATAATAAGGATTCCCTTGTACCCTAAGCGACCCCACTCCTGTCCCCCTTCTAGCCTTTGGGACAGGCCTGTTCCTGGCCTTTCTGAATCAGATCTTTGAACTACCTTCTTAGTCCAGACCCTGCCCACTACATCTTGATCCCCTGCAACCAGACTACTTCAACTCTTAAGCTTAGTTTTTTAGAAACTCCACAAGCTGATCCCACCCTTAACGTGGGTTTGTTCTCCTGACTGCCTAACACAGACCTGCCTACTACCACCTCAATTCAGAACCTAACCTATGTGTCTTGATTGCTCTGCACCCTGAACAACTCCACTCTTTTCCCACACCCTTTACCCCTTCTAGCCTTGGGCCAAAGCCTGCTTCTGCTCTTTATACCTCATATTTCTGGACTAGCATCCTATTACATACCCTGCCCACTGAATCCTGATCCCCTACACACAGATTAGCTGCATTCTCCAGCTTTAGGGCCAACTTATATCCTGCTAGTTTGCTAAACTCTTTCTAGGGTGTCCCTACCCCCACTTTTCGCTTGTTTATGCTCCTGAACTGACATCTAGAGATCAGCCTACTACCCTGCAAGAATCTGAAGCACACACCAACTAACTTTACATACGTGAGTAAAAAGCAGTCAAGCTGAATCAATAATACAAACATAACCAAACTTCAACTAAAGAAAGGCAGAATAGAACGATGTATAAGAAACACAAGACATTCATAGACACAAATAACAATGCAAACCCACAAGTAACACATAAAACCAAGTGACTATGCACTTCCAAAAGTCACCAGTCCTACAGAAGTGTATTAAATGAAAATGACCC